TGGCTCCGTTCGTTGCTCTTAATTCTCGTTACAACGGGAAACGATAGCCCTTATCCGTCGCCAATTACCTAAGCTTATTAACTATTCTCGCCAAACGAAATTGTTGTATCTTCCAAAGAAAAGACGGTCGAATGGTTGAATAATACACTCGATATCATCTCTTACCAAATGAACGCAATCATAAATTAAGATATTTATCTTTTTATCCTAACGAACGATGAATCAGACATGTTACTCTATACTGAAATTTTGTTATTTCTTCATATTAACAATATAGTCATTTTTACACTCGACTGAAATTCAAAATAACATGTTCACTATGAGTAAACTCAATGTACCCTATAAACCTAACATATCCACGATAATATGAAAAGTTATTCTTTATTAAATAATCTCTTCCTTCACCTGCCATTGTTATACCACATAAATTTATACAGAAATAGACAGTTAAAAATAGAAACTGCCTACCGACAATTAAGAATGCCATCACAAGATGTCTACCTACGTCTCGCAAACTCCTTTGAACGGAACGTAGCATCAAAATGTAATCATGACCTTTTTCGGCGCGGTACCCAATTGTAATTCCTCGAAAGAGCCATTATGTAACGCAATGTCTAATGCCGAAGGAAAAAGCAACGTTTGTCCCTCCGTGAACGTAATGGCTGATAAATGACGAAACAAGAAAACGAGACGAAATGAAACGAGCGTGGAGACATTCTCAAGTGGTGGGTCAGCTCGTGACATTCCGGTTGGCAATTATATGCCGATAGAAAAGAATAAAGCCGTGGCGCGACACGCGTTTCGAGTGGCCCGCGGAGCGTGTATACCTCCACTGGGTAAAATAATAGTTCGGTCTGGATGCCACACCCAGTATTGTCCTCGCTCATACTTGTACCTCCCCTTGCGTCGCCTTACTCTCGCATTACTTTGCCATTTTACGTAGGTACATATCGATGATATACATGTTTTTCTATACGACGGACGTACACGAGCAAGTGTACAGGCCAACTCAAACGGTGCGTGAATTTGGGAACTCTGAGACGGCGACGGAATTTTGGAATCATGGAGGTCTGGACATTTTTGTGTTTGCAAGTTTGAATTATTTGGAATTTTGGGATCTTGGAGATTTGTTAATTTTGAAAATTTTTGAATTGGACGATCGAAGAGTTAGAAGATCAGATAAGTTCTCATGCGTGATCTTCAAAAATTAAAGACAAGTGCAAGATTTCCCTCCCCGCATTGTTTATCTATTCAACACTGTAACTCTACCAACATACCCGATTGCAATAATTATACTCCGAAAAAATAAAAAATATCATCCCTTTTCGCACCAACGTTAAAACGCCCGGTAGAATCGTGCAAAGACGACAAACACGTAGGCACAAGGGGGGAGCTACGGTTGAATCTCGAAGATAGCGAGATAGGAACGAACGTCGAGAGAACGAAACAGCAGAGTGGATATAGCCGATGAGAAAGAAAGATACAGGATAAAGGGGAGGAGAAAGAGAGAGAGAGAGAAGAGAGGACCAGCGGGGGTTGGTTTGGAAGAAAGGTGGGATCGTGTTGGAAGAACGAAAAGGGGGTTGGCAGAGGATGATGGCGGTGGTTCTCCTGTTCGTTTCCACGTCCCTGCAGACGTGCCAGCCGCTGATCTACGATTCCCTCGCGCATAGCAGGCCGCATAACTCTCGTCTTATACCTCTCGGTGAGATCTGGACGATGATATTGCTTATCCGCGTGTTCGAACCGCGATCCACCCTGAATTCCCTCGAAAACAAAGGGGCAGGGAGGAGGGATGTCGGTGCGTAGGAGGACAGGCGAGAAAGATTACTATTCTAGCGCGTCTTAGGGGTGCTGGCAAATCCGCTCGCTTATTTCGCCGGGATAAAATACTCGCGTGAATTTCAAATAGGATAACATTCCGGTCAATTTATAGTTAATAAATATGAGTCTGGGAGACAGAGAAAGGGGCCGAGGACTTTGGTTGGCTGAATGGATCTTGCTCGAGAGGGTGCATAAACCAACATGACCCTTTTTAACCGTAATCGTGGAAAAAATTCGATGGTCGTGTAATCCTATGCGGGAAAAAGTGAAGCACGGGATAACTTGAAAGAAATTCTACCGCAGATAGAATTCCAATGCAAACAGTAAACTTTCCGGCATCGATGCGGAGCAATTTTGGAATAACTTAATATGTTGGCGATTTTAAAATCTTTGCTACAGTTCCGTTTATTGAATCCCGCTGTATAACTTGAATATTTTGAACATGCTGTATATTACGACTGACTTAAATTCGCAAGCAGATACACCACGAACCGATTGCATTCTTGATCACCGTACAGATGCAAGAGATTGGATGATACGCACGATATAAAAATATGAAAAAGGAACGGGGAAATGCCTGAAACGAATAAATTCTATTATGACCCTCTCGGTACAGTCTGAAGCATGGTATTACTAAACAACGTTGTCTCTGGCCGGAAACCTTGAAAAGAATGGAATAAGAGAGCGGGAGAGAGGAACGTTTTGTTGGAAGAGATAGTAGGAACGAGAGGAGGAGAGAAAGGAGAAAAGCATCCGCCCCTTTCCCCCTTGCTCGCCTCGAGGGTTTCAGCTCGTGCAAGCGGTTAACGCAGCCATTTCACGCCTCGGGAAGCATCCAGTTTCCTCATCCGAATTCTAACCGAATTCACAGAAACCTCTCCACGGACAAGCTACGAGGATTTCTATTTAGCAGAGACTGGGAAGATGGCGGAGACAATTGAGAGGATTCTACGAGATGCTTCGCCCGGCTGTTGCAAGCTAATCCGTTCTGTTTCTATGTACATTCTAACATTTATCACAGCTGTTTCTCTTTACTCTTTTTATCATTTTCACTTCAGCCGTTTACATTTAAAATTATGTAGGCAAACAGAATTACAGCCAGTTTTATTTTAAGCCCATTTTTTATTCGACCATTATTTGGCGAGTTCATCACTGTTCGCCATCGCGTAAAGTTTTGTGTCATAAACTTACTTCGCCTTCTGAACTCTGACCTGTTTTACCGTTTTTCACTGTCAACAAGATTTGCCACTATGTACATTTATCACCATCGAATAAAAAGCTTGAAAAAATCCGTGCCACCATTGACTATAGCATTTTAAGTTGTCGAGCGATCTAAGCATCGAAAGTCTGTTGTAATATCAATACGACACACGGTACTTTTATGTCAGCATATACTGTCGGAATTCCATTTTCCGAATGGTCCATGCTATATATGCAACAACCTAATAGTAAATCCAATAATCGGGACGCCTTCATCATACAGCCCATTGACTTGGACGACCCTCCGTCAACGCGATTCTTCCTACCCCCATAACCATTTAATCCTTCGTGTCACTGGATGCCGAACGATCGACGAGGGGTGGCGCCTGTCCCTTAAAACTTGGATTCTTTACCGAATTAACTGGCAATTAACGAGCGAACGACTTTGTTTCCGTTCGCTCCCTCTTTATCGGCGTTTCGTGAAAGAATCACGTGGTAGAAAATCCGCGTGTGCACGGAGGGAGCTGGGAGTCCGGGGAATACCCCCATCGAATCCGCAGCGCGTACATTTCGAGCGATATCGATGTCGCATCTATCCCATGGAGAATTTCCATACAGGATTCGACTTATGGCGGTTGGTGGATGCGCGAAACTGTCGTAACGCTATCGAATTTTTACGGGTACAGGTCGTTTTGCCAGTTTACCTCGTAAATCTGGCCGCGCGACCGCGTGGACGACCCGCCACCCCGGCCTTTTTTCCCTGGCGGAATGGCCTAAAGTGAGTATCGATCAGAAAGTCTGAGGGAATTACGGTCCATGAGCGATTCTCCATTGCCTACACCAAGTGGTTATATCTGCCATACGTCGTGTGCCATAGGAAAGGGGGCGGCAACCGCAGCAGTAGCACGACTGTCCTACCCTCTCCTCGTCCCCCGTCCCCATACCCGTACTCGGCTACCCCAATTTCACCCCCGAGAGCCAATATTTATTGATCACCCTCGAAGGCATCGTTCTGTATTCTCTCTGCCTCTCTATCGCACCCTCTCCTTCCTTCGCTCTCACCCACCCACCCCCCGTCTTCTCTGACACGACCTCTGCACGTTCTTTCGCGGCGAACTCCTTTTCTTTTTTTCTTCGCTCTTCGAAGAAAAAGAGAAACACAGAAGCGTTCCCCTCCCGTCTCGCTGTCAAGACGCTCGCAGCTGTTCTTCGCGATCCTTCTGTCCCGCCCTCCTGCGGGAGAAAGAGTTGGCTGTCACGGAGGGGAGGGAGCTGCTGCAACGGCAGGCACGGCTTTAGGACGATGAAAATTCACCCCACGACTCTTTATTCTTGGAAGCTTGCCTCCCGGTGTCTCGTTCGAGAATGCCCGACGACTTAAAGCGGACTTTCGAAGGAAACTCGAACGGAGGGTAGCATCTGTGCCCGGGGAGCCTCGCCCCGAATAAATCTAACGCCGTGACATGTCACAGGTCCGAATTCGACGCGAGAAGCCCGGTTTTTAAATGCGCTAACGCAGGGAACCGTTTCGTCGACTCGATATACCCACTGTCAGGGCCACTATACAGCGAACAAGATACAGCGCTTTAAAAATTCAAAAATTGAAGTTGAAAACTGTTCAATACATTTGTAAAATTTACGACAACCGAGCTCATTCTTGCAACCACTGTTCTCAATTAAATAGTTAATGATCATAATGAAAGCAAATTATTCATCGTTGAAATACCAATACATCGTTAGCATTTCAATAATATGAGATTGTATTTAGTGTACAATTCCACCTATCAGCACAATGAGTTTAATCGAAGGTGTGATAAATAAAGTACAGAAATAAAAAATTGAAAGATACTGTCCGACATATTTTTCAATGTAAGCAATCAACCCCTGACTTGTTCGTAATCGACCAGAGTGAAGGAGATTCGAGTCAACGAATGGCTCTCGGGAGGTTAATCAAGTTTGAAGAAAGCACAACTCACCTTGCAACCATGTCCAATGCGGCTTAGCAATATCTTCCTTACCTGTGACAGAGAAAAGTCTACGTGAGGATTCAGCTTTCTCTGATCGTGTCGGGCGCGCGAACAGGGAAGGAGAACGTTCGAAACGAGTCGAATAAATCTTTTCAATGATCGAATTCGACGAGTGGTGGTGCGGGGAGCTGGGAGGATGGGAGCAGATAACGTATACATATAATAAGAGACGTCAGTTTTTGAATTATACGTTGGAAACTGATCGCTTGTTCTGCCGCGAAACACCGTAAATCGTGGAAATGTTTAAGCAGCCCCCTCCATCGAGGCACGACCGTTATAATGCGAGAGCGAGACCGGAACACGATCGATCGGTACCATTTTAAAACCGAACCAATGAGAATAACTCGCGAGCGGAGACCCGTCATAAATGAAGCCGTAAATCATACTTAGCCATTCGACGAATCAGCCCGCGATATTTCGCCACTCGACAACACGCAATTTTCTATCGGATAGTTCAATTTCTAGATCGAAGATTCATATTTAAAAATAACCGCACCAATCGGACGGGATTAAACAATTAACGACACGAACCCTCCCCCCTCGCCATCGACGAACCTACGTTGCCCTCCTCGTGCGAACGTTTCACCCCCGGTCCACACCGGCCGCGTTTCATTTCGACGACGATTTTCGTGTCGTCCCCGTGATGAAACGTCGATCGATGAGCTACTGAATGCATTTTGCAAACGGGTGCGCACGCGAGCACCGTACGCCGGATTGCGTTCGTTAATATTCTATTAGACATCGACAAATGCGCGGCATGTTTCAACGACGCTCGCCGTTTAATCTCCTCGCCTCATTATACATTCGATCTAACTCGTGAAGCGAAAATGACGCTTGCCGGTGCGATTGTTTGCCCATTACACGCCCAATCTTTGTTTTTTGCACGGACATTCGGAGAACTTTACTCCAATGCAATTTCAAATTTGCAATTTTTTGTATACACTTGAAAACTTTTATTATTTATTATGTACATTTGTAACAATATAACGACAGAGTTGGCACGTGTTAAAAAAAGTTTATTCTTTCACAGATACTCTATTGTAACCATTCACGTAAATCCTCAAAACTAGCTGATCGTTCGATAACGAGTACTAAAATATTCCGGGCTGGCAAATATTAAAAAGCGATTGTAAGTACGTTTGCCAGCAAAACGAAGAAAAGTAGAACAGGGCAGAAGGAGAATTCGATCGATCGCTTCTTCGTGACAGCGCGCATAGTTCATTGGATCGCAATCATCGGTGGAAAGGGTTAACTTAATTGCTCGAAATGGGAAATTTCAATCGCGTAACGACTCGCTTCAGAACGCGACTAATTATGCGCGGCCGTTTCTCCGCGCCGCTTGTAATTCATCGCAATAACAGAATAGTATAATCAATTTCCGTCCACTAGCTCCCACTCCGTGGGCCAGTTGAAATTACGACGTTTCAGTTACATCAATCATTAACTCGTTTATCGTGTAAACAGGCCGGTTAGTCATGGCCGTAAAGCAACAACCTATTGAAAGTATAATGCAGTAGGTTGGCTGGTAGAAGCGGTATGTAGAGGCGAAGCTTACCAGGCCGTATTAAACTGGACAGAGCACAACCGTTTACACGTATGGGCCGCTAACGCGTGCTCTGGCTAAGGTAATCTACCATCGGGCGAACAACTTCTTTCCTGGCCGACTGTGCCCTGTCATCCATATTCTAGTTATTTGCGCACGTGCACGGACGCCAGCTCTATTTACGCGTCCGTAGGTCGGCTCTAGCTCGGCGCGCGCGCGACCGCGG